AGGCCGGTTTCTGGGGTTTTGTTTAGCTTCTATATTTGTTACATAGTTTCTTAAACTGCAGGCTCAGAGGCCTGCAGCAGCAGGTGGGGAACGTTGGAGTCCTCCGTAACTGAAGCAAGCAAGCCTCATGTTAGCTTCAAGCTGCCTGGCTGCAGGCCGCCATCTTGGCTGGCAGTTAATTTGCATATCTCGCTGATTAGCCATTGGGAAGGGTAGCGGATGTACACTAATTACCATGTTTCTCTTTTATTAAATAGGAGATTTTAATTAAAAAGATGCTGTTATAAAAATTGACTTGCCACATGGCTATGAAGTGGCCAGCAGAGAGGTGGATGGGCCTACCCTACAGGCTCCCAAGCCCATTCTGCACACTGCGATGCCTTAAGGTGCCTTGTTCTTCCAGTTTCAAAGTTTCCTCAGAAAGATCTGGTTTAATTATCCTGTACTAGAGGCCCGGTGCACAACCCGGGCATGTGCCATGACCGGGAATCAAACCGTGACCTCCTGGTTCATAGCCATGCCAGCCAGGTGAGTTTACCCTTTTAAAATGTACAATTCAGTAGCATTTAGTACAGTCACAGGTCATACAACCAACATCACTAATTCCAGAACATTTATATCACACCTAAAGAAACCCTGTGCCCAGTCACTTCCTGGCCTCCCTCCCTCAGCCTCTAATCCACTTTGCCCACACTGGACATTTCATATAAAGGAAACCATATAGTATGTAGCCTTTTGGATCTGGCTTTTTCCCTTTAAACAGTTGCAATTAAAATATTTCTTTCTGTTAAAAACTTACATGTTCATTGCAGATAATGAAAAACTCACAGGAAAGCAGGAATAAAATTTAAGTACTCATCCAGTGCTAACCGCTGTTAATGTTAGTATAACATTTAGATGAATTACTTTTACAGAATTGGAAGCATACTATATTGCTTTAGAATCTGTTGACTTAACAAAACCCCAGAAACCTACTTTCAGCCAGCCCCACACTTTTTCTCGTTCCTTTAAATGTATTTGCACAAAGCAAGATTTTTAAGCTTGATTCCCCTATTGTTAGAAATCTGTATTATTTCCAGTACTTTAAAAAATAACTTTTAATAAATAAAACTATAATCAACTTGTTCAAAATTCTATCTTCATAGGCATTCAGTTACTTTCTTGAAACACAATTCCTGAGCTAAAGGGCATACTCATTTTTGAGATTCCTGACACATATTTCCCTCCCCAGAGGCGGCATTCATGCACACCCCCACCAATGGTGGAGCAGAAATCTCATTTTGATCATCTGATCATTAAAATACAAAATCCTCTCAAAATGGCAGGTGCAATATTACAGTTTAAAATTTCACTTTATAAAGTTCAAATGCAGGCAAAACTAAATTAGCACGTAGGGTGTGTGCTTTTGAAGAAAGCTCCAAGGGAGACAACCGGGGGACAGCTATGTCCGGTGTCAGGAGGGGCTGGGGACGGCGGTGCTGGACTTCTGCATGTGAGGGAGGCTGTTCGAGAAACTGTGCTGATGCACTTTATCTTTGTGTATGACGGCTCCTGATCAAAAAGCTTACATTACAGCAGATATTACTTTCTTGTCTAACTTTCACAGAAAACACTGTCCTGGTAAACGGAAATTCCTAAACTAAATGCAAACAACTCTTCAAGTAGCAGAGAAATGCTGAGGGCTCAGCAAGGCGGGGCCTCGACGGGATTAGGAAAAGGGTCCCTTTTGGGAAGAGGATTCTGCGAAAGCTGTGTCTTGGGTCGGAGCGGCTGCTGGGTGCTGCTGGGGAGGTGACCTCCTCTGAGCAGAGAGGAGGAGCCCTCCCACAGGACACGCAGTTCTGCACTTCGGGAGGCGGCGAGGTGGCTGGAGTGCAGACTGGCTCCCACCTCGCAGCCTCCATCTGGAAACCCCTGGGCCGCGCACACAGCAACCCTGGCAGCCCTGACGGATGGCAACGCCACGCACACTGGCATAGACGAGCACAGAAACACACAGAACACACGGGCTTGGACGGCTAGTGCCAGAGCTGCTGGGGAGCAGGTGGACACCCCTTACCGCGTAGCCTTCTGTCTTCTTCTGGCACCATTTCAGCAGAGCGTTGCGCTTCGAGCCGCCGTACTCCCGGGCCAGCGCAGCCAGAGGGTCCCTTCTTTCCACACTGGTTAGAGAGAGGAGCGCACAGTAAAGAGAAGCTGCTAATGTTTAGAGCCCTCAACTATGTAAGAAATAAGTAATCATATTAGAAAGGCAGGAGTCTAGGTCATTTCAGTAAACTCCAAAGAAAAACAACCAAATCAGTCACATTAGCCATACATTTTTATGTCTCAGGGTATGAAAGAAAAATAAGATTGTCTTTCTTGACTATTAGAAGTCTATAAATAGGTTTTAAAAAATTTTTAAGTCCATCTGCTGCTCTTGCCATCTAGCCTTTTACTTATTTACTTAAGTACGGTATCATTTTAATGAAAGATACCTATAGAAAAACTCGTGTGGCAGGGCCCCACTTACGACTGCATGTCAGCTAACAGGTAGGTTAGAAGGGCATTTAAAAACACTGGATAGGCTGCGTGTGGGGGAGATGCTGGGAATGGAGGTGAAAGGCAAAGTCTGTAACAATTACTCAAAAGGGGGCTTTCCAACTCCACAGGAGGCACTCCTGCTCCTCTGTTCTTGGTGCCATCACTCAACTCTGAGCCCCCATTTACCACAGGAAGTGATCTTCCAGGAGCAAGGGCTCCAGTGCCCATCCTCGACTTTTCTATAAACGTCTACGACAATTTTATGCTGCCTAAAATTCCCAAATACTAAAAGGGACTTAAGGTCACACAGTTTCTTCCATGAGGAAGCCAGGGAAGGGGGATTATATTCCCATCCCACTGGAACAGCCTGCGATTTCCCGGCACTGCGTGCAGGAGAGCAGGGATAGGGCAGGGCAGCTCTGGAGTGTCAGCTGTAGCAGCGACAGCGCGAGAGCAGTGGGATTTACTCCTTGGCGTGTGCACCATCACGGCACACGATGTTCACAGCAGTGTGGTGGGCAGTGGGACAGGCACGAGGAGAGCAAGGACGCTGGGCCCGGTACAGAAGGTCTCCAGGGCGGAAAGGCCCCAGGGCCCAGCAAAGGCAAAACTGGGAAAACAAGGACCTCGCTCCCAAGTGACTTTCCTCTCCAGCATATCCCTGGACATGCAGCTCGGACCCTCCCCTGACCTTTCCTCCCGGGCATGTCACTCATCATGCGTAGACCCCCTTGGAGGAGGAACAAGAGGCCAAAAAGTGGCTTCATGCAACTCCGTGTGGGCCCTTGCATGACCAATCCCTTAGCGTTAACCCCTAGGGATAACATCAGTTGTGTTTCTGCTCCAGGCCCAGAAAAGCAGCAAAACCAGACAAGCGGCTGACCTTAGGACCAGCTACAATGACAAATGGCCCCTTGCCCTGGTGCCAAACCATCAGTGGAGACCATGACCCGGAAAGGCCACACCTGGAAAGGTGACAAATATTTATTGAGATCCTCCCCGGGACTTCCCCTGAAAGCCCTTAGGATGGAGGACCAGCAAGGCCCTCTCTAGGGAGCACTGGTTTCCCCACTGGTTTCCTTGCCTCTCTCCTCCTTGAGCTCCAAGGGCCTTTCGTTTGCCTCTGCCCCTTCTACAGCTCACTTATTCTGCCTCTGTGATTGTCTAAATAAACTTCCTCTTACAGTTTGAGTCTTGGCTCTGAATTCTTTCTTAGCCAGAACTCAAGTACCGAGGTTCCTGAACCAAAGTCCAATCTCTGGTAACAACAGCAGCACTTCTTATAATAGCAAACCCTGGAAACAACCAATGTACATCATCTGGAAAATGGATAAACTGGGGATATTTATATAATAGAATACTATATAGCAATAAAAACCAATGAATTACAGATGTATGTAATAACTTGAATGAATAGCAGGAACCTTTGAATTAAGAAACTCCAACAATGTTTTTATGTTTCCAAAGTTGCAAATATGCCCTGGCCAGGTGGCTCAGTTGGTTGGAACATCATCCCAGACACCAAAAGGGTATGGGTTTGATTCCTGGTCAGGTACATACCTAGATTTTGGATTTGATGCCCACTTGGGGCTAGTATGGGAGGCAAAACTCTCTCATGTTGGTTTCTCTCAACATTGGTTTCTCTCTCTCTCTTTCTCTCTCTCTCTCGTCCTCTTTTTCTAAAAATCAATATAAATATCCTCAGGTGAGGATTAAATAAATAAATTTTAAATATGCAATTTAACTGATATACTATTTGTATTGTCTGGGTACACAAAATACACGGAGAAACTGTAAAGACAAACACACAAAGTTCAGAATGGTGATGACCTCGGAGGAGGGCGAGGAAGGGACAGGAGGTGCTGCAAATGGCAGGGGCTAACGGGAAGTTCAAAAGTGTTAATTTCCTTTTCCTGAGCCTGGAAGGTGGTGTCCAGGTTGCTCTCTATCGGGTTGATAATCCTTATACCTTACACATATTTTATTATTTTGTATCCATCCAATATTTAGTAAAGATATTTTAAATGATTTAAAAGGAGTAATGGGATGATTCTAGACTGTGACAATCTGCATCAAGGTAGGGAGGTTTTAAGGAAAACTTTATACTTGAATTAAAGTTTTCTTGTATAATGTGATGCCTGCCTTTCCTCCTATTTGACACATCTGTAAACTCAAACCCACAAGTTTCTGTTAACTATGAAGTTCTGGTCACACTGCCTGTGTTTGCTGTGCCTGGCCTGGGTTTATTCCATTTCCTAGAGATGAATGCCTAGGCCTGACAAACGAGGGAAGACTGAAATGAGTATTTGGGAAACAGTTTCTGTATAAATGGATGACTAAACATTTACCAGTTTTCTTTTAAAAACAGAGCTACCTAGATAAGATTGCAAAAAAATTAATAATAGGATGAGAACTTCCAAGGTAATTTGTATCCTGCCATTGGTTTGTCTCAGTGACATGAATATAAAAATAAGTAACTAATTAATTTCACTAATTTAAGCTTTCACGATTAAGGGTATAGTAAAAATAGCATATTAATACACAAATAGCCTTTTTGTATGCAGTTCTGGCACAAAGAAAAGAGCAATTGGAAAAAATAAAATAAAGTATAAAAGACCCATTTCAGAATAGCACTAATTTTGGTCCTTAAAACCTGTTTTGATTATTTCAATCTCTTGCACATAAACAAGACTGACATTTAATACCTGGAGCTTTAAATTAAACCTCTGAATGATATGCCTTCATTTATTTGGGCCAAAATAATGACTACACCCAAAGATATGGCAAGAGCTGAACTTACTCAGACTTTCAAAAAATCCTTTTATAATATTAATGGTAGTTGCAATGTCTGTTAAAAAGCCATTACTCGTAAGATAGCCAATTCTGTATACTCATCTACCTACCTATTCTTTTCTTTGTTTGATTTTTATAATTTTTTTTATTATTGATTTCAGAGAGGAAGGGAGAGGGAGAAATAGAAACATCAATGATGAGAGAGAATCATTGATTGGCTGCCTCCTGCATGTCCCCTACTGGGGATCGAGCCCCAAACCTGGGCATGTGCCCTGACCAGGAATTGAACTGTGACCTCCTGGTTCATAGGTCTACTCTCAACCATTGATCCATACCAGCCGAGCTATCTACCTATTTTTAATATCTACCTATTTATTGAGGGAAATGCTATGGGTGTACCACAACACAAGAAGTTGAGAATGACATAAAAATGTAACACAAAGAATTTAAGATCCACTAAATTACAGTCTTAATAAGGGCGAAGGCATGCTGCTATGCACAGTGAATTAAACACCCAAATGAGTGGGAGATGCCTCAGGCGAAGAAAGGGGGTGCTGATGCCCCCAGGTGGTTAGTGAAACCTCATGCACAGTTTGCCCTGGAAGGAGAGGTGCTCAGGAGTTCAAGGTCACAAGGCACACCCTGCGGCTGGAACCTTGGCTCAGAAGTGCCTGCATCAAGCTGCAAAGGCAGAGGAAGAACAGGCTTTGCTGACTGAGGGGCCGGGACATTCTGCACATGTGGGGGCGGGGCGGGGGCCTAGCTTGCGGAGAACCGGAGACGGGTGGAATGTGGACCCACGCGGAGGTGTCGGACACGGCTGCACAGGAAGCACTCAGTGCTCCAGAGGCTGACCCCACGCGGAGAAGCAGGACATGACGGAGGGGAGGCGGTGGCAGATTTGTGAAAGCAAAGACAGCCTTCCGTGGCCACCCGGCGGTCTCTGCCCACGCCATCGCTACTCCAGCCCTCAGCTCCTGCTTAAGCACCCGCTAAACAGCCTTAGCAATACCCCTCCCATTTCTTGCAGCCACTGTTGACTGTCCCACTACCACTGCACACATCAAAGCCAGACCTCCACACGCCTGGTGGCTCCACTGCTTTACCAAAACGAGTGCCAGCACCTGTCGCTGGCATGTGCACTGTGGCTCCCGTCAGCCTTTCCTGGTGTGACGTCCTAAGGACGCACCTCCCAGCCCAGACTGGCGGAAAGCCTACCACAAGCGCCCGACTCCCCAACCACTGCAGCCCGCGGTCCAGTCTCCCTGACTAACACCACGTCCCAGCTCGTGCCAGAGTGCGGACCCCTGCAGGCGCCGGCAGAGCTACTGCTTCCTCTCCCTGATTTCCTGGTCCAACAGCAGCACCGAGCACCAGCTAGCTCCTTGTCCCACAGCCCTCGTGTCACTCTGCATCTATAGTGCAGAGCCTCTCCCTTGCTGAAGGCAGGCACTGGGTCTTAACTGCTTTCATCCAGGAAATATGTGTAGAAGTGCAGTGACCATTAAGTGATGAGGAATGACGTGCTTCTCACCACTCCAACTGCTCTGAAGCCGAAAATGAAGAAACCTGTATAGACTCCCTCTCCCTTCTTCTAAGAAAGCCAACAGGTTTTAGAACAGCTAATAGAGAGAATCAATAAGCCCTGAAGCCTCGGATGTTACTCCAGACCAGATTTCTGGACTGCCAGCACAATCCCTTGGGCAATAAAAATGAAAAAAACTCAAGTTGCTGAACACCATACTCCCTAGCTTTGAGTCTTCTATTGAATCTCCAAGGCTGAAAATCAGCTTAAGGGTTCAAAGGGGGCGGGGAATGATGAGGAAAATAAGACATTTTTTGTGGGGGAGGGAGCTAGCAGCCTGACTCTGTACCTAGTTAATCAATATCCTTAATGCACATTCCTGTTAGTCTATAATCTAATCACTGCCCCTTCCCTAATTATCTGGTCTTACAAGACCTATTTACCTAAATACTTAGATAAAACATGAACCATATACAACTCCCAGAGGGGGTTATCAGTGCTGGCGCCATCCCAACACATGGGGTTTTTACAAAGCCCGTGAAAGGTCCGGAAGTCTGATCCTCATTTGGAGGACAAAGAAGCCAAAGGGTATAAAAGAAAACTTCCTCCATATTGGTTTGCTCAGAATTTGGAAACAGGCTCCCCTGAGTCACAGTGCTAGTATGTCTGGATATAAATGGGGTTTTCCTGTATCTCTGGGTACTCCTGTGTATTTTTTGGTTGCCTGGTAAATTCTGTAACAAAAGGCATAAATTAAGGAAGACCCAAGGGCACCGGCCCACTGTCCATCTGATTTCTCGCTGTTTATAACGTGGTACCTGAGTTTGCTGTGTGGCCTCAAGCCCCCGGTGGACGTGCTCAGCAGCCTCGTGCTTCCGAAGCCCAGGGCCGGGGGTCTGCTCAGCGACTCCAGGGAGGGGCTCTTGCGGAGGTAAGGGTCTGGCTTCAGGTTGTCAGCTCTTCCCTTCAGAAGACCTGTGTGCACAACAACACGATCACTACGCCCGAAGGACAGGGTCTGACTGGTCATCGCACTTTTTAAAACGTGGTACCCGAGTTTGTACGGTACAATTCTCCTTTTATTCCCAATACAAATAGATAACAGATATAGTTTCTGGATAAGCAATAAAAATGCAAACAGGGAAGTGATATTTTCTGGAAAGGACGGCTCAGGCAGGGATGACTATATAATTCAAAGGGACTAATGCCAGATTATCCCCTTTTAGAAATCATTCAGAATTTCTAGACCCACAAGAGCGCTGGGCCTGCGCCCTTATTAAGAGCTTGTGCCACTGCACAGGTCAATGCCCACGAAGCCAGCTCTGTCCTGAGGCCGGTACTCGGTTTTCTCTGATGGGCATCTGAGAGGGGGCTGGTGGGGAGGTGCCTAAGGGACCATCAGGTCACAGGTGGCAGCAGGCAGCTGGGAACCAAGAACGACAATTATTTCACAGGAGAAAAAGCCTGACTTTCTAAAAAGAAGCAAAAGGAAGTCTTTTCAGGCTCCTCTCTGCTGTCACATTCGTCTGAGTCAAAACAGGTAACAAAGCAGGCTGATTCCGGCTGGCATTTCTTAATGGGCCCCAAGGCATCCGGCGGGAGAACATTCTGGGCTGTCTAGTTTGCATTTACAAAGGAAAGGGGAGCTCCGAGAATGAAGCAACCTGCTCAGTACCATAGGCAAGCCCTCAGTCACCTCCTCGGGCACCTTAAATAGTCGTGGAAGAAAATACTATTCGTACACCTAACAGCCACCAATTATGGGGAGCTGGAAGAGCAGGGAAAAACAGTGTTTACACCACTAAAGAAAACAACAAAAACACACATTAATCCCATTTCTACAGTTTCTGATGACTCAGTGTTGTCCAGCCTGAAAGCAAGCAATTTTCACATGTAATCCTTCTCGGATAGTAAACAGAAGCACCTGGCAGACAGTGCCAGGTGGGGCAGACAGTGCCAGGTGAACACACACACACACCCAACAAACTAGTCACTCGGAGGCAATGGCTGCTGTGGTCTCAGCGTCAGCATTTACCTGGTTAATTAGAAGGCTTTCTCTACACAAATGGGAATTTTAAGGCTAGAAGAACGGAAAAGACACAAATATTGTGACTAAAAGCTCACCTACTACACTTGAAATGGTTAAGATAATAAATGCTGTGTCACAGGTATTTACCACAGGCAGAGCCACACGTGCCTACGCCCAGCACCGCGCCTGCAGGCAAGCTGCTCCCGTCACATCACTGAGCGCGTGCAGAAGGCAAGCCGGCAGGCCCGGTGCTCTGCTTTCACCTCCCTCCGCTCCTCGGGGGTCACCCGGTTGGCACAGGAATAGCAACCTGCTCCGGGCCTCACTCACCCCTTCTCCGTTTTTCTCACTTTGCCAACCTTGGACTACCCACTGGTCCTTGGTCACCATTTTCTTCTTCCTGGCATCATTGCTATGAAGCAAAATCCTTTGTAAACCTTTATCATTTCTTTATGAAGCTGTGAATCAGAGCATCACCAGCCTCATGACCGAAAGGCCACACTGGGGGAGAAAATGAGGAAAACTCGCATCCTGGTCCTGGGGCCGTTTAAAATCAGTGTGGCTCTGTCTCCATAGGGCTGGGTCTCTCACATGTCAGTGCAGCGCACAGGCCCAGGTAACCTGAAATTCTCGATGTCAGTATTTATCTCAGTCTAAAATCCTTAATTCCATGAACAAGAAAACAGAACTCAGAAGGGAAAAAATAAGGTAGTAAGGTAAAAGAATTTACAAAGAGTGAAACTTATCTCATAAAAACAACTATTTTCAGAATTAAATCTGTCCACGTGTGACCATGATCCAAAAGAAGTGCAGTAGGAACGTACTTTTATTCACACCATGTTACAGAAGTTCTATCTTAACTTAAGAGCAAAGGACTTCTACCTATGCAATTCGATATTTGGCTTTCTCTGCTTCCGACAGGCACTAGTAAATAGCCAGTAAGTGTTCTTGTCATTTTTGCTTCCTCACAACAGTGGCCATGCAGACACAGAAATAAATGGCTCAGGTGTGTGGCCTGGACAACCTTCACATGCTGCTAAGGTCTCTGTCCTGCAGGTGAGCTGATGTGCAGAGACAGTGAGCCCGGTGACAAGAGCGACCCTGTTGCAGCACTAGGCCCTGGGGCCAAGTCCACTCAACCTTTGCAGCCGTCTACTGGGCAGACAGCCTTCTCTGCACTTTGGAGAGGAGGGAGCACAGCACAGAGGTGGCATAACATGGCCACAGCCAGGCTGCAGGTGGCAGTGCCGGGCTCAAACCCAGCAGTCCCACTCCTGGGTCCCCTGTACCGGAGTGCCCTATAAGCGTGTGCCCCCGTAACTGTGCCCCATAACTGAGTGCCCCATAACTGAGTGTCCCGTAACCGTGTGCCCTGTAACTGTGCCCTGTAACCGTGTGCCCGGTAACTATGCCCTGTATCCATGTGCCCCGTAACTGTGCCCCATAACTGAGTGCCCCGTAATCGTGTGCCCTGTAACCGTGTGCCCCATAACCGTGTGCCCCGTAACCGTGTGCCCCGGAACTGTGCCCCGTAACCGAGTGCCCCGTAACCGTGCCCCGTAACCGAGTGCCCCGTAACCGTGTGCCCAGTAACCAAGTGCCCCGTAACTGAGTGCCCTGTAACCGTGTGCCCCGTAACTCTGCGTGGCTTTCAGCGGGGGAGGCATGGCAGGAGTGAACATGTGACACTGAGGACTACAGCTACAACCAGCACTTCCTTGTCAAGATGTGACTTTCAACAATACGTGGATGAGGATTATTCTCAAAGACAAAAATATCTCAAAAGTCATATTTTAGAAATTATGGAAGCAATAGACTGTCAGAATCAGATCTAAGTTTTTTCTTAAAATACTTTTTTTAAATTTTCCTGAAATACAGTATAAAACAAACACACACACACACACACACACACACACACACACACTCCTCCCCCAGCCGGACGCTGCCCCGGAGCCCTGACAGAGAAGGGCACGGCGCAGGAAGCAGGCTCTCACCCCTCATCACACACCCTGAGAGCTTGAAATCGTCTGGAATAAATGCCATGGACTATTTTTCTAAGCTCGGTTCATGCTAAGAAAAGTGAGCCCCACAAAAAAGTAAGTGATCACATTGAAGACGATTTACCTGAGAGGGGAAGGTCGGGAAGGTCCAAGCGCTGGGCCACTCCTTTGCTGGCTGGGCGAACGCCGCTGTAGGTTGAGTGCCTCTACAAAACAAAGGGCACAGCAGCACAGGTGAACTTGTGACATCAGGACCAGCTCAGGCCAGGTGTGCACACATGTATGTACACGGGTTCTCAAGCTCATCCAAATCACCAGGGGGAGCTTTTACAACAACGTATTAGTGTGAAAAGATAACAAACGCACTTGGCATGATCCTCAAAGGGTCCAGAGAAGACACATAGCTAAAAGGAAGTCTGCCTTCCCTGTTCCTCTCCCTGGGGGTAATCATTATTTTATTTTTTTTTAAAGTTTTTATTGATTTTAGAGAGAGGAAAGGAGATGGAGTGAGAGAAACATCAATAATGAGAATCACTGATTGGCTGCCTCCTGTACACCCCACACTAGGGATCGAGCCTGCAACCCGGGCACGTGCCCGAACCGGGAATCCAACTGTGACTTCTTGATTCATGGGTCGATGCTCAAACACTGAGCCACACTGACTAGGCAGGTGTAATCATTATTAATCAGCTTTGTGAATATCTTCCTGGAATATTCTATGCATATTCAAGGATATGTGTAAAAACACTGTTTCTTAATGGCCAACAGATACATGAAAAGATGCTCAACATCACTAATTATCAGGGAAATACAAATCAAAACTATAATGAGATATCATCTCACACCTGTTAGCATAGTCATTATAAAACAATAACAAAAGAACAGAAAATAACAAATGTTGGCAAAATGTGGAAAAACTATAACCTTCGTGCACTGTAGGTGGGTAAGTAAAATGGTGCAGCACAATGGAAAAGAATAGGGAAGTTCCTGAAATCATTAAAAACAGAACTCCCAGCCCCGTTAGGTGTTCAGTTGGTTGGCGCATTGTCCTGTACACCAAAAAGATTGCAGGGGCAATTCCTGGTCAGGACACTACCTAGGTTGCAGGTTCAATCCTGGATTGATGTTTCTCTCTCACATCAATGTTTCTCTCTTTCTCTTCCTCTCTCTAGAAAAAAATCAATAAACATATCCTTGGGTGAGGATTTAAAAAGAACAGAACTGCCATATGACCCAGCAATCTCACTTCTGGATATATATCCAAAATTACTGAAAATAGGATCTTGAAGAGACACCGGCACAGCCAGGTTCCTGGCAGCATTATTCACACTAGCCAAGAGGTGAAAACAACCTGAATGTCCACCAACAGATGAATGGATTAAAAATGTGGCGTTTACCCAGTTTCATTAAGGAGGTACTATATGAATCAACTGTTTCAATTTAAAACAAACTATTTCAATTACCATAACATAATTGTTAAAAACCACGATTTGCTCATAATTCTGCAATTTGAGCAGGGGTGGCAGGGATAGCTCTTCTTGGCTACATGTACTTTTGACAAGGGCAGTTCAGCAAGGACTTGACCCCCAGGATCCCACCGGGCAGTGGCCGGAAGGGCATGGCGCCGGGCATCCCTCTTTTTCTCTGTGATGTCTTCCTCCACGGCCTCTCTCTACGCACGAGGCTACTCTCTCTTGGGTACATTTGACGTTTTTGCTATCCAAGAGGGTAAACGTGGGTACTGCAAAGCTTTCCGAGGCTTCTGTCCATAAGTTATACAAAATCACTCTGCTCCACTCTGCCGACCAAAACAAGTCAAAGAGCTAGACTAAATTCAAGGGGAGGAGACAGCCTCTACGGCACAGGAGCCACCACTAACTCAGCCAAGTTTTCAGACAATCTGCCACTCACCTTCTCGCTTTTGTTTCCAATAAAAGTACGGTGGGGGGAAGAAAATGTGGTGTCTACATACCATGAAATATTTTCAGTCTTAAAGCAGGAAATCCTGCCCCTGGTACACCGTGAAGGAACCTGGGAACAGTACCTGCGACGCGGGCAGGGATGCATTGGTGCTGGTGTGCCCTAACGCTGACCCCAGATCTTGACAGAAACGATAGTCCTAGGCAAGCACTCAGGAAAAGAGGCAGCCTGGGAACCCTTCCCGGATGCTCAGCGCAGACTAGGGCCTTCTCCTCCCGCCCTCCGGTAATTCCTTTCTGCCTCACTAGCTAGAGTGATTCCTGATATTTGACAATTAATCGAGATACACTCTTTATACAGAAAAAGCCTAAGTGCAGGGGTCCCCAAACTACGGTCCGCGGGCCACACGCAAATACAAATATTGTATTTGTTCCCATTTTGTTTTTTTACTTCAAAATAAGATATGTGCAGTATGCATAGGAATTTGTTCATAGTTTTTTTTTAAACTATAGTCCGGCCCTCCAACGGTCTGAGGGACAGTGAACTGGCCCCCTGTTTAAAAAGTTTGAGGACCCCTGCCTAGGTGGGCAAAAATTTGTAAAAGAATTTCACTGTATTGTTTCTTAATAAGTTTAATACAAATTAAGCTAAATGCCCATCAATAGAGGTATATTTAAATAAATAGTTTCATATAACATAGCCTTAAAAATGAATTATTTTGCCCTAACCGGTTTGGCTCAGTGGATAGAGCGTCAGCCTGCGGACTCAAGGGTCACAGGTTCGATTCCAGTCAAGGGCATGTGGCAACTTGCCCAGGCAATGTGGCTCAGTGGTTGACTGTCAACCTAGGAGCCAAGAAGTTACCAGTTAGATTCACTGTCAGGGCACATGCCTGGGTTGCAGGCTCGATCCCTAGTAGGAGATGTGCAGGAGGCAGCCAATCAATGATTCTCTCTCATCATTGATGTTTCTATCTCTCTCTTTCTGTTCCTCTATGAAATCAATAAAAATATATTTTTAAAAAATGAAACATCAACCTGAGAGACACACTGATTGGTTTCCTCCTGAATGCACCGCAACTGATGTACATGCCCTTGAACAGGAATCAAACCAGTGACCCTTCGGACTACAGCTCAAGGCTCTAACCATGGAACCAAACTGGCCACTGCAGCCTGGCTGGCATGGTTCAGTGTTTGAGTGTCGACCTATGTCACAGTTTCATTCCCAATCAGGGCACATGCCTGGGCTGTGCCTACCGGGGACATGCAGGAGACAGCTGATCAATGATTCAATAGATTTGATGATTATCAAAATATAAATAATTGTTTTATTGGTTTTATATATAAGGTGGTGGAATATACCTTAAAGGGCAAAAAGTAAAAAACAAAACAAAAAAACACCTTAAAAGATCCCAAACAATATGCATAGCTACCAAGGACACCAGGAAAGGGTGCCTGTTAATGACAGCATCGATCTTAGTGCAGGAAAAGCAGAGTGTTGCGTGTTATTTATCACATCACAAGCCCTGGTCTTAAAGAGGAAGGAACACTTCCAAGCTTCTTTAATGAGGCCAGCATTATCCTCATTCCAAAACCAGATAAAGACACTACAAAGAAAGAGAATTACTAGCCAATATCCCTGATGAACACAGATGCTAAAATCCTCAACAAAATATTAGCAAATCAGATCCAGCAATATATTGAAAAGATCATACACCATGACCAACTGGGATTTATTCCAGGGATACAAGGCTGGTTCAATATTCAATAAACAATGCAAATCAATAAATGCGATACATCACATAAACATACTAAAAGACAAAAATCACATTATTATACCAAGTAGATGCAGAAAAAACATTTGACAAAATCCAATACCCTTTTTAAAAATAAAAACTCTCAGCAAGGCGGGTGTAGAAGGATCATACCTCAACATGATAAAGGCCATATATGACAGGCCCACAGCCAACATCATACTCAATGGACAAAAACTAACACCATTTCCCTAAGAACAGGAACAAGACAGGGATGTCTGCTTCCACCACTCTTATTCAACATAGTACTGGAAGTCCTACCCACAGCAATCAGGCAAGAAGAAGAAATAAAAGGCCTTCAAATTGGAAAGGAGGAAGTAAAACTCTCATTATTCGCAGATGACATGATATTTATATAAAAAATCCTAAAGACTCTACCAAAAACTACTAGAGTTAATAAAGGAATTCAGCAATGAAGCAGAATATAAAATCAACATCCACAAACAGGTGTCTTTTTTATACACCGATAATGAATTCTCAGAAAGAGAAACTAAAAAAAAAAAAAAAAAAATCCAATTTACCATGTCATAAAAAAAGTAAGATACTTAGAAATAAACTTAACCAAGGCGGTAAAAGACTTGTAGTTGGAAAACTACAGGACATTGAAAATAGAGATAGAAGAAGATATAAACAAGTGGAAGAGTATTCCATGTTCATGGACTGGTATAATTAACATCATTAAAATGTCCATAATAGCCAAGGCAATCTACAGATTCAATGCAGTCCCTATTAAAATACCAATAGCATATTTCACAGTGCTAGAACAAATACTCCAAAAACTTATATGGAATCAAAAAAAAGACCCCAAATAGCTGCAGCAATTTTGAAGAAGAAGAAAAACAAAGATGAAGGAATCACAATGCCAGATTTCAAATTATACCACAAAGCCACTGTACTCAAAACAGGCTGGTACTGGCACAAGAACAGGCATATAGATGAATGGAACAGAACAGAGACCCTAGTTAATATTTGACAAAGGAAGCAAGAGTATACAGTGGAGTCAATACAGTCTCTTCAGTAAATGGTGTTGAGAAAATTGGACAGATACAAGGCAAAAAAAAAAAAAAAATGAAACTAGACCAGCAACACACACAAGAATAAACTCAAAATGGATAAAAGACTTGAATGTAAATCAGGGAACCAAAAACTCCCAGAAGAAACCATAGGCAGCAAAATCTCAGACACCTCTCATAGCAATATGTTTACAGATACATCTCCTAGGACAAAGGAAACTAGGGATAAAACAAACAAATGGGACTGCATCAAAATAAGAAGCTTCTGCACAGCAAAAGAAACCATCAAAATGAAAAGGGGCCTAACAGGTTTGGCTCAGTGGATAGCGCGTCAGCCTGTGGACTGAAGGGTCCCAGGTTCAATTCCCGTCGAGGGCACGTACCTTGGTTGCGGGCATGCCCCCGGTGGGGGGTGTGCAGGAGGCAGCTGATCGATGTTTCTCTCTCATCGATGTTTCTAACTCTCTATCCCTCTTCCTTCCTCTCTGTAAAAAAAAAATAAAAAATGAAAAGGGAGCCCACCATATGGGAGGAAATATTTGGCAATGATACATCTGATAAAGGGTTAATATCCAAAATATATAAGGAACTCATACAACTTAACAAAAGGAATAATAAACAATCCAATTGAAAAAGGACCTAAATAGACACTTCTCCAAAGAGGACATACAGATGGCCAAGAGACATGAAAAAATGCTAAGTCACTGATCATCAGTGAGATGCAAAATAAAATAACAATGAGGTATCACCTCACACCTGTCAGAATGGCTACCATCAACAAAACAACAAATGACAAGTGCTGGCGAGGATGTGGAGAAAAGGGAACCCTAGTGCACTGATGGTGGGAATGCAGACTGGTGCAGCCACTGTGGGAAACAGTATGGAGTTTCCTCAAAAAATTAAATATGGAACTGCCATTTGACCCAGTGACCCCACTTCTGTGAATATATCCTAAGAAACCTGAAAAACCAATCAGAAAGAATGTATGCACCCCTATGTTCATAGCAGCACAATTTACAATAGCTAAGATCTGGAAACTGCCCAAATACCCATCAGTAGATGAGTGGATAAAAGCTGTGGTACATTTACACCATGGGATACTATGCAGCTGTAAAATAGAAGAATCTCTTACCCTTTGAGACAGCATGGAGGGACCTGGAGAGTATCATGCTAAGTGAGGTAAGTGAGTCAGAGAAAGACAAGTATCACATGGTCGCACTCATAGGTGGAATCTAAGTAACAAAATAAACTGATGAACGGAGTGGATCGGGAGACAGGGAAGCATGGAACAGAGTGCGACTCTCGGAGGGAAGGCGGGGGAGGATGGATGGTGGGAGGTAATCAACTAAAGACCTTGTATGCACATATGCATGGCCATGGACACAGACAATAGGGTGCTGAAGGCCTGGGGCAGGAAGGAGGGTGGGCCGGAGGGGGTCAGGGGTCAATGGGAGGAAAAGGGGGACATATGTAATACTTCCAACAATAATTATTTTTTAAAAAGTGTTTTTATAAACAAACACACAAACACACACACACACACACACACACATAAAAGAAAAACCCCGGTCTTAGAAAATGCCAAGAAGCTTTGGTCTGAATCCATCAGAAAACAGCACAGACGCAGGTTGCATCTAGTGAGCTCCTACGAATTGATAAATTGTAAACATTCCTTCTGAGGGCATTTTAGAACAAACAATTCTTTGAGAAAAACATCTAGTTCAGTGTTCATTTCTAGTAAAAATTACAATCTTCATTTAATTGAAAACTTCAAGTGTCATCTTACGGGGAAAAAAAGTTACCAAAATTGTATGAAGGTTATAGTGTCTCTCTTGGACCTTTATTAGGCATTAAAAGTGTAAATTTTAATTAAAATTAAACTAATATTGCCCAGCCAGCATAGATCAGTGGTTGAGCATCGACCTATGAACCAGAAGATCATGGTTCGATTCTGGGTTGGGCACATGCCCAGGTTGCGGGCTTGATTCCCAGTGTGGGTGTGCAGGAGGCAGCCGATCAATGATTCACTCATCATTGATGTTTCTATCTCTTGCCCTCTCCCTTTCTCTCTGA